GAATTTTACTGGCACTGCTCCATTGATGTACTTTGATGAGTCCTGCACATTGGACCCACAACAGAGATGGGACAGTTTATACTTATCCTTTTGTTTCCCACAAGTAGACCAAATACAGATGAGACTGACTGTATCTTCAGTATATTTACAGAAGAACACAAGGATCTTCTTCAGAGTCCTGCGTGAGTTATTATGTTGCTAGAATATAATCTCAGAGCCACGGGAGTATCCTGCTCCTGAATACGGTTATAATCCAGCCATAACAACACATGATCATCAGCTAAATAACAATATTTTCTTACTGTGTGCTATAATTTAAACCTCTGACTATTAATCAGGGGGCAGCGAGGGTCTCAACAATTATTGGTTTGTTTCTCCAACAAACACAAATGTGGGAGATGCAGCATTCAGGAGGAGCATGAAACAAAGCAAAAACACTGAAAAGAAACAAGTGCAAAGATAAGAATGAAAATAACTTCAAAAATTATGTTAACTAGGATAGTGAGTTCTGAATTTCAAGACCAGTACAAAGTAATGTGTAAGAAGAGTGGGGTTTTTTAATGATAACAATATAATTGTCTTCTAAGCAAAAGTAACAATGGAAGTAATCAGCCAAATTTGCTGGTCAAAGCCAGCTGAAACAAAAGCAAATACAACATTTATTACAATCATTACATGCCCTGACAGCCTTTGGAACTACTGAATGGCTATTGAAGGGAGGTTCACGGATATTTGCACAAGTGGTCATATTTGCTAACAGCCCTCTTAAACTCTTTGATCTCTATTCATAAAATTTGTCTTTGAAACAGTTCAATAACACAGTGTAAAGTACTGCACTGGCAAGCTACACTTCCAGATACCTGTCCACAGAAACAGATTCCCGTGTGGAAGTTGGGCATTATTTAACTCCATTTGTCTTGTTCCTGATTTGGTACCATATCAGTGATGCTTTTCCAAAATATTTCTCTCTGTAAAAACCAGAAAGGTTTCTTCAGATATTCACTCCAGGGAAAGAAGACAAATGTAACTGGAGGTCAGGGATTTTTACTGGAGGTGCCCTATCTGAGTCCGATAGAATTCCTCCTAAAACACACACATATTTTTTCTGATGCAGATATACCTCTCAAACTGATCTGCACTTTTATTCTCTCAGTACATTTGTGGAAAAGCTTATTGAAGAAACGTTGCTTTGAGAAATTAGATAAAACAATTTCAACCCACTATTGTTTGTCAATGGCTGGGCGCAGTGTCAGGAGCAAGAGGTGTGTGATCTCTGGTCCGTGGGAATACCACCAAACCTCACAATTCCTGGTTTGAGATCCACACGGCTCTTCTCACACAGAGTGGAAGGGTGCTTTATTTTCCCCAATCCCACCAGCCCTGCCACATTAAGGCTCTGCGCTCTTATAGGCAAAGGATTGGGGAATGCATGGTTGTGAGACAGTTTGAATACTTCTGACAATGTATGCCCCAAACTGAAGTCCCTTTTCCAGGGAAATGCAGCACAGGACAGCTGCTCCTTTCCTGAGAGGAGCATCGCAGCTCGTGGCCGGTCCCCGGGTGCTCGCTCAGGGGGAACACTGCTGTTTTCAGAAGGCTGCGGAAGCGTGCAGCATGTTAGCTGCTTCTCCCACGTGACCACTTACTGGCACAGTTCCCCAAACATTTGCACCCTGCTACACTCCATGCATGCGTACACAGGGGACTGGGAGATTTTATTTCTGAGTAATTTGGAAACTTAAACCTTCAAAAAAAAAAGGTATTCAAAGTCTTACAGTTAAATTCCAGCAAATGCCTGATTGCTTTATAGTCAGAGAGGAAGTAATCTCTTTTGAGCTGTTTTGATATACTCTGTTGTTACTGTGTAATTATAAAAGTGATGAAGTAACCTTTATGGTTTGTAATAACCAAGTCTGTTTTTCAAAATGTGAACCTGAAAGGGATCAAAATGTACCAAATGTCAGTTTGCACACAAGTAATGCCACAGATGACTCCTCTAGTGACCAGGGTCTTCTCCTGAAAAGCACAGGATGATGCAGATGAGGCAGTGGTTTTGACACAGAGTTTCACACTCTCTTTCTCTTACCATAGAAACCAAGAAAATATTTGTGGACATTCCATTAACATTTGCAGATAAGTAGAAATGAAAATTATTCTGAACACAGGATATGGTTGGGCTGAACAGCTAGATCATCGCTTCCTCTTTAGCACAGTTCTGACTTAGAATGAAAAAATGCTTTGCTTAGGTAAGCCACACCACCAATGAGACAGGCTCTCCCTGAGAGAGCACTTGATAAAGAGCTGCTTGATAAAGTCCCATTTTTAGGATGAAAAAAGCAAGCACCACATTTCACTGAAATTCTGCCTCTCCTGAAAATCTGACACACGCATAACGTGGCACGTGGTGATTGCTCTGTAGGAAAAGAGGTTTGAGCTCACATGCTGATGGAGATCCTACATTCAGCACAAGGCTCCTAAACACTTCAGAGGTTCCAGGCTTTAGTGACCATTTTGCATTTTAGTCCTCTTGTCTAATAAACTTCCCTCCTTTGCCTCCTCCTCGCTTATCCTCATGCTGCCTGGCCTCTTTAGCTCCTCTCCTACACCAGCCAGGTTCCTCCCAGATGTCTTCCGACCTCCTGGCTCTTCTCCCCTGCCTCTGCCTTTCTGACACAG